ATTCATCTGTAGACGACAGACTGTGGATTAGTACAACGATGAGGGAAATCTGGGACAAGGTTGTGCATCTTTCTTGATGAAACCCCTTGGAAAACTCCATTGTTATCTACCTACCAGAACTCAAATGCAACAATCTGTACATGAAAACATCACACCATCCCATCACTTAAACACGCACATAAACGCCCTCCACCATGCCACCTTCCACCCCGTCTCCAAGCACCCAATCCAAATCTCGCGCCCAAAATTCTCGCCTGGTAAGTGCTAGGTACCTTCAAAAGCACTGAGTCAACCAATTCCCCACCCCTCCCTAAAACTCCAACTCCTCCCCCCACTCCTCCCTGCCCAGGGCATAAAATTGCCATAACAAATTCAACGTATACGCCTGCCCAACCACCTGTAAATAATCCACCTCGCATCAATCACTCCCCTCGACCATCTCACCGTCATCCCCAACCGCAGAAGCAGGATCCGCCATCCAACCAAGCTCCCCTTCCTCCTTGTTCATCTCCTCGCCAGCACGCGCCCTAACCCCCAACCCACCACCACATCGTTCACACGCACCCTAAAACAATCCATGCCCGCCAACAAGCCCCTAGAACCAAGGGCCGGCGTGCCAATCGCGCCAGCACGCCAGGACGCTGATGGTCTGGTGATTCCCTGGCAGACCGCGGGACGTTTGTAGCCACCCGTGTTCTGGGTAAGCATGTCGCGGGTTCCCAGGAAGGGGATCAGAGATGTTTGAAATGTCTGAGATGACTGGGGTAGGGTGCTGGTTGTGGAGTGGGGCTTAAAAGGCGTTTGGTGGCCGTGAGGATTTGAAGGAGGGTGGGTGCGACTGTGATGACTGGGGGTTTTTTGCGCAGGGTGGAAGGTAGTGTGTGTGGTTTTAATGGCTGGCGGTGTTGAGCTCGATGAGTTAGTCTCACGTGCATTTGCTTCGTTAATAGAAGTCTCTGCAGCCGGTGCGGTGAAACGAGCAGTACCGGTACGGGCTATGAGTGAATTACCAGCACGGGATGGCGAGCCACAAAGCCGAGCATCAGTAGGTAGATTACCCGGAGAATCAGGCATGCGCATATCGACTCTCTCCTCTAGGGGTTCGACATCTTCACCACCTACATACCCACCGCCGAGCCTCGAGCACAAGCCACACAGCACACGCAACACGGACCCATTCAGCATGGCATACCAAATGAAGTCTGCCAAGGCGATGGAGAAGAATTGGGTCAGAGACTTTCATTCTGGATGCATTATCCACCATTCAAGCCTTGTGCCGCGAAAGGGCGCGCCGACGAACTCGGTGAGCCATGTGAGAATGCCGTCGATCATGACTTCCACCCAGAGCGGCTCTCGATGAATGAGCATAGCGCAATTCAGTGGATATCTATATGACGTGGACTTCTCTGTGCTAGGTTGAGTGGAGGGCGAGCTTGGAATGCTGAAGTGTCTCAGTCGTTTGGTGGAGGGGGAAGAAGAGGAGAGGCGAGTCCGGAGCTTGTGGCGAGGATAAGTAATTGGGATAAGAGAGAGCCGAGTGGTACGTGCAGCGTTGGAGGTTCTATGAAAATGGGAGAAATGGCGGGAGGTAGCTTGTGTGAAGTTACGGAGTCGGTTCTTCACTTAGAGGGGCGGCGGTAACTCACAGGCAAACGAACGAACGACAAGGGCTACCTATACGACAAGTACCTCATCTATACGGATCGAGATGGTCCTGGAAGATTTGACTTGTTGCAAAACATTAGACTAGAATATCCTATCTCTTCTGATGAACCTGCCTGAGATATCCATCCCAGCCGATACTCCCAAAAGCTGACTTCATGTCTATGCATCCTGGGCCTTTTCGCTGTGCCTCCATGCATCTAGCCCAGCTAGTCACCAGCTAGTAACCACAAAATGGAGCCATAACGGTGATTCTGCCCCGTATATCTTCTATCGAGCCAGGATCGCGTCGAACCTGACTGCCTGGTGGGTAACTTGGATGGAACTGTTCGGTTGCCAAGGTTCGACATTTTCAAGCGTATTGATTCTGTTGGATCGCAGGGGAGGTTGTGTGAAATAGATGATGAGCGCGCAGTGATGGCTGTGTAGTAATAGGAATGATTAGGATACCCACATTTCTTTCCATCCCGGGATCAATCGTAGTTCTGAAACCCTGGACTCTGGACAAGGCTCCCAAACATCACCACATCATCCCTAAAGCCACTTTCAGATAAGACCGAGCGCAACTTTCAACGTCGCTGTAATCTTGGATCTCGGCTAGGTTCATAAATGTTCGCAGTCGGGATTGTAGTACTACTAACACCGCTGAGAGCGGGCCCTGAGTTTCCTTCTTGCAACATCATATCATCTTGCATTTCAACGTCTTGCTGCTGCACCTGGGTTTCTTGTGTCGGCCTCTCGATATGTGCTTGCGGGGTGGGATCTGGGACCTCCAATGCAGCATATCGCTGGTTCAACTCATCAGGACTTGATTCGTTTTGTTTGCAGAAGGCTTCTTCCGTTCTCACAACCCTCTGAACCTCATTCCACAGCCTTGCCACATCGTCGTCTAGCGCAGAGCTTCTTGGACCATTTCTGATCACTATTTTTGGGCCGCCAATGGGTAGAAATTCAGGCTCGCCCTTTGCAGGCCTTTCGTGAGTCAACATTGGGGGCTTACTAACGCCTTCGATATGCGTGTAGAGGCCGATGCCTTTCGCCGACGGTTTAGATTTTAGTTTGGCGGGGCGTTTCAGCATATCTAACAGTTCGAGATTCATACGTCTTTGGGCAACAAATGCTTGCTCTTTGCGAGCCAGGGCAAGTTCTTCCCGAAGGATTTCTGCTTGCTTTGCTCGCTCTTCTCGCATGCGAACTTCGTCTGGCGGTTGGTCTGGCTGATCATCATTTGATGATTGACCGGTGGTAGATTGCTGCATTGAGGAGTCTTGGGTAGAAGGAACTGTGTTAGCGGGCCAATCTGGCATGTATATGACTGATCGGTGTAGTTGCTTTGCAAGTTTTCTTGTGGCTGTGGAGACGTCAGCCACATTCAGGAAAAGGATGGGAGAAATAGCCTCACTCTTCAAGTCTTATTGGACAGTTTTGATAGCCAGAGCTAGAGCTGAGATCTCTTCTGATCAACGCACCCAGTCGACATCACAAATGCCCTTCACGCGTGAACACATCATCACGAGATTGCGCGAACTTGTAGTCCGGATAAGGCGTCGCCCCACCGCACTAGCGTCACATTTCCCCGTCCCGCTAAGCCACAACAAGTCAAGCCGGATACAGACATTCAACGCGTCATGGTGACCTTTCACGCCATGACACGCACTCTCCAGACTTCAGGAACACAAAGACGGTGTCGGTTAGGATGCTGACATCAAGATCAAGTCGCATTGGATGTGGCGCTTCTCCTTCTCGTGGCGGACGTCACGGTACGTCCCTAGCACAAGCTAGGATCGCGCCTATAGAGAGGAGACTGTCTGCAGATATGCGATCGGTACATCATGCAGTCATCTAGATTATTTAGATCTGCTTTGTCTCTGCGTGCTACTTGCTGTCTCCCATCAAACTTGATAGCACCTGCAGCTTCCCCTCGTGCAGCTATCTCACACATCCCTTCCAGATCTTACGCCTCCAAGAACGACGACAACAACAGCAACACAGATAGACTCAAAGGCCCCGTCTCCTCGCCCAACATGCTCCAATCCGTGAAGAACACCATTGCTGAGAACCTTGGTGCAACCTACATCCCAGGCGCTCACACCCTCGCCCCAGCCGACCAACGATTCTCCCTAGACCAAGTCCCCGACCTATCTGGCAAAGTCGCCCTCGTAACCGGCGGCTCAGAGGGCATCGGCTACGGCTGCACACATACCCTACTCACCCACAACATCTCCAAACTCTTCATCATCTCGCAAAGCCCCGACGTCATCTCCGACGCCATCTCTGCCATCTCATCCGAACTCGGCCAAGACAAAGCCAGCCGCGTAGTCTGGTTACAATGCGACCTCTCCGACTGGGAACAAACCGGCCGCACAGCCTTGACCATTGCAAAACAAACCAATCGCCTGGACATTGTCATCAACAACGCCGGCCGTGGCATCATGACCTACCAACTCGCCAAGAATGGAATCGACTTGCACATGGCCACCAACCACTTCGGCCACGTAGTTTTAACCTCGCACCTGCTCCCGCTGCTCAAAACCACCGCCTCAAACGGCCACAAAGTTCGCATCGTCCAACTCGGCTCCAACCTGCACGAACAAGCCCCCTCGGACACCCAGTTCGCCTCCGTCGACGAACTCAACACAGACTACGGCCCACAGCCCCAATACGGCCGCTCCAAACTCGCCGCCATCTTGTACGCCAAATACCTGCATCGCCATGTCCACGCCACACATCCTAACATCCTGTCTAATGCCGTCCACCCAGGTATCGTCGAGACCCGCCAGTCGACGCAGCATATCCACGAGGCGTTTCCGCTGCTGGGCTACGGGATGAGCGTGGGTGCTGCGCCGTTTAAAAAGACGCAGTTTGAGGGCGCTGTGAGTGCCATGTTTGCGGCGACGAGCACCGAGCACAGCGGGCTGTATGTGTGTCCGCCTGCGATTGTGGAGGAGGGGAGTGCAAAGGCGAATGATGTGGAGTTGGGAGAGAGGCTGATGGAGTTGACGGTTAGGGTTGTGAAGGAGAAGACTAAGAGCCAGAGTGTGGACAAGGGGTGTCCGTTTGCTCTGTCGTAGGGGGTGGTTTGATAAATAGACGGTACATGTAGTATTTGCCAATGACTGGGCCCGATGAGCCGTTTTTTTCATAGTCATGGCCAGATTCACCAAAGCCTGCAATTCCTCCCGCTCCCAACTCCATTGCCAATTCCATTTCCCGCTACAAACGCTTCAAGTACGAAAGAGCACCAACTCGTCCAAAGTAGAATCAATCAAAACAACGCGTTCCCTTCTTACGCCCAACAACTCCTGTTTCACAGAACCCCCCCCCCCCCCACCGTCTTCCTGCCTTGAAACCCCCACATCAAGGCCCCCATGCCCATGGGGGCCCGAAACCCACTTAATCCCTCTCCCGCGCTCGTCAACCTCGCACACAAACTCAAAAAAACCACCGTCTCCCTCCCCCCCCGAAAATTGAACGTGGCCAGTAAGAACTTCAAATGTCTGGGAAAATTGTCTTCCTAAATGGGTAACATGTCCAAAATCTTGTCCACGCCCTGAAGATCGTAAACAAACTGTGTTGGTTGGCGATGGCTGACTGAGGTACCAGGGCGGGTGGACACGAGGGTAGAGGCTGCAGGGTTGGCATTGGGTGGGGCGCGTGTCGAAGCATTGGGTTTGGATTTGGGGTCTGGTGGGGGCGGCTTGAAGGCTGCATTCACTTCAGCGACGAGGTCAGGGTCGCCGGTGATGAGGTAGCGGGATAGGGAGTGGGTGAATTGGGCGAAGAGGGTGCATGTTGACATGATTTTATTGTTGATCTACGGTTTTCGTCAGCATTTCGATTCCCTCTATTGAGTTAGAATGTTCTTGACTTACTTTGAGCAGCTTACTGTTAGTAAGCATGCACTCTTTTAAACATGTCGCGAGAAAGTCAACATGATCCTGCATCAACTCGTCCACAGTCTGTTTCACTCGCGGTCCGCCACTTTCGTCTTCGTGTGCCCTTGATTTGCCTCTCGACTCTGGCTTGCGCTCGTCGCTCAGCCGAGACATCAGCGATGCCCAATTAGGTTCGATGACTTCGGATGTGCAGTAGTAAGTGAGCTGCTGTACGAAGACCAGCATCCGCGCTCTGAGCGTCCAGGCTCTCCTCTTCCAGAGTTCAATGCGCGGGTTTCTTGATCGATGTTTCCATGCTGCGTTCTTGCCCTGCTCACCCCAGGATTTCGCTAGATCCATTTCCAGGTGCTTCAAGCTGAGTATGAAGCGGAAGAGTAACTGATACCTGGTCAAGGTGACTCGACTAACGACTAATGATAGTGGGAAGGGCATGGCATAGTCAAACACCAAAGCTTGGTATCCTGTGATCTTGTCGTCATTCGTTATTTGCGTTGTGTTGGCGGGAGTGTAGCTCGATAGCGTCGCGGTTGCAGCATCTTGATCGAGACCTTGCACGTTTACAATTTTCATCAACCAATTAGTAAGCCCAGTATCGTTAATCTGAACCTTTATATCTTCCTTATAGGGGTCTTCTACCGCAACGGAGCCTGAGTGCCGTGTAGCAAGATCCAGCAATGACTGCAGTTTGCCGACATTGACTTGTTTCGCTGGCTTCTTGAGTTCCAACTCGCTCATCTCAAGGAAGTAGGTGAAGAAATCGGATCGGTCGAGGAAAAAGTAATGTTTGAGTGATCGTAAGCGTGCAGGCAGTTGATGTGTTGTGAGTAATAAGTTGAGAAGAGAGGTATTTGCGTATGCGTAGGCCGAGTTGACATTATCAAGAAAGGACGGGTCATCGAAGCTGGTTGGGGCGTCTTGAACGCTTTTGCTGACATCGACTCCCCCACACTCGCGCACGACATTGAGGTATTTCCCGGCCAGTAGGACCTTGTCTTTGACTGCCTCGAGTTGCGGCGGGACCAATGCGTCTCGAACCGTGTATCGCTTTTCCCAGTACTCATCGGTATAGTCCTCTTCCAATCCCTCTCGTTTTATGCTCTGCTGTTCTTTGATCAAGAACTCTGCGTGAGGATCTTTGATTCCTCCATGGTGCAGCCATTCGTTCAACATGGCCATGTAAGGTCTGCTGGCTTCTCGTAATAAAGTTGTGAGTAGCGTCCGTGCCGCGGGATCTCCAGACATGGATGCCAGTCGTTTCGTTATCAGTCCCAAGGAGCTTCCGCCCTTGCAAACTTTTTTGATTGTGTGGCTACCTTCACGCAACGATTCCAAGATATTCTCGAAATCGTTGCTATCATCAGCCTCGTCATCGTCCTTTTCGTCCTCTAGGATATCGTTCGCTTTCAGCAGCTCGATCCCAGTGGTGTAGAGCTGGAAGAGCATATGGCTCGTTTGTTTCGTGTGGAGATTGAGAACATGGAGGGTGAAGGATTCATTGGTCAATAATTGGTGCTCCAATTGTGCGACCAGAGTGAGGTAATCTTTCAGCAGTCGTCTTACTGCGGCGCATAGGGCATGATTCACCGCACCGTACTGCTCCCGGCTCAGCACCTCTACACACGCTTCGACCGCAATGTAGTGTGTTGCTGTCTTCAACATGGACTTGGTCAGATCTCGCAGGCTCGGGTCCAGGCCTGGCATGATCCGGAACTGGGGCCCAACCAGTCTGTCTTTTTCTTCATGTGGATTATACGATGCGCTGAACCGAATGTATTGTCCCTCGAATCCCATGAAGACGAACAGCAAGTCCTCCAGTATAGCCTTCTCTTGCGCGTCTAGTGACAGTTGGACGAGGGGTGTGGGCTGCAGTGAAGTAGGCGCAGTCGAAGCAAGCGGAGGAATGGACACGCGCGTCGCAAGTGGAGCGGTGGTGTGCGGTATAAGGGAAGCCTGCGGTTCCCATGGTGTCTGTGGCTCTTCGGCCGACGATACTTGTGAGACAGCAGTGCGGGACGGTCTCTCCGTCTCGCGCGCCTGTTTCTCAGCGCGAGCGCCAGCATTGACCCGGCTCTCACTCGAATGCTTCAACGGACTTCTTGTGCGCCTGGACTCGGTGACTCTGTCGCGCACCTCCCTCTTTTCCGTGCGGCGCTCTGTGGCTGTGCCCATGGGCGCCGACTGTTTCCTCGTGTGGGCTGTTGTGCTGGACCCGCGCCGGTCGTTCTCCTCGCCAGAAGCAGCGCGGGGTCGCGCGCTGGACGTGTAGGCGGCGGCATTGGCGGACCGCCTGTCTGCTGCGGTCGACGGCTTGGTGCTCGGGGGGTTGCGCGAAGACATGATGTTCTGGTGGAGAAGGCGCGGGCCATACAGGTCGCGCAGTCGCGCAGGTTGGTGTTGATCGCACTTGCGCCGAATGCTTGTTTGGGCTGCAGTAGCGACCGTTGCTTGCTGGCTTGTGTCTTGTGTCCCGCTTTCCCTCCCAACGCGTAACATACAGGGATACGCGCTAACCGAAGCCATGACGCAGTACCTACTGTACCGGTACCCGTAGCATATAAATAGATTTCTTCAAGGTGTTGGATGAATTTATCGGCAGCTCAGACGAGCACTCAATCGTCTTAAGAAGATGTACCTCGTCTTGTTTCACTAGGAACAGGAGACGCATCGTGCTATGCTTGTCAATCTGACGTTTGAGTAGCACAAAACACCTGGAGTACTGGAGTAGCCAGGAATGAGTGAGTGACATGGAACATCATTCTGCCTACACTTGAGAAACACTTACCTACACATTAGCCACTCAGTCTACCAACTCGAACAGCCATCATGGCGATGACAGTGGCGGTTGTTTGTGGCAGAGAACACGAGAAGAGGTGGCATGGACATGAATACGATGGATTTGTACACAACCTTTGTAACTGTCTATACAACTGCTCTAAACCTCATACCTCGATCGCCCTGCCTGAACTTCATTTCCAAACAATCGCCCTGCATCTACACAATATCTCGCCTGACCCTGACCGTCGCTGCCAACCTCACTGCCCCAACAGACAAGAACTGCATCGAGGATGCCTCCAAGTACGCCTTCCATGGCACCGAGAGCACCCCATCCAATCGCCGCACTGATGAGACCAACCACATAAGCATAGAGGCTACCTTTATAAGGCACAGTGTCATTACTGAGTTGCAGCATGCGCGCTGTAGATACCCAGCCCCCAAACCCAAGAGATAGGGTTATGACCCACCGAATCGCATGGAGGAGAAGTTTCGCAAGGCGGTAGGATTGAATCGAGGGCTTGCCGCGGTCCTTGAAAGAGCTTGGGCCAAGCGTGGTCGTAGGAGATGCGGCAGAGATGAAACTCATTTGTGAGAGGCCACGTGCGGCTTGGTTGAGAGGAACCCCGTGTATGGAAGCGAATGTCAACGTGAGTGGGTTCGTAAGGGCGGCGATGGGTGTTGGCACAACCGAGTATGCACACATGCTGATCATGCCGGCTAGTCTTCTAGGGAGGACAATGAGAGGGAGGCGAACCATTAGGGAAATCAAGGTTGACATGCAGATGGTGCCAGCCATCGTATACATGGCGTGACTGAGTGATGCTTGGACCACGATCCTGGCTGCTGGTGTGGGGACGCTGTTGCGGTGAAAGTACCACTGAGAGACGGTGGCTGCGGTTGTCGCGCGCTGAACACCTGCAATGACGCCCAATGCCCAGAAGTAATCCAGGAAGAAAGCGATGCCGAGCCACCACGTACTAGCATCGATGATCCAGCGGGACTTGTTGCTGGCGAAGTGGCCACCAAGGAATAAACGTGTGAACATGAGCATCCAGACCCAGGACCAGAGAATAACGGTGGCCAATGTCGCGATGCCGACAAGGAGCAGTGGAAATTGCGCCCTGAGAATTTGGCTGCAAAACTCCAGCATGCCCGTAGCCTTGTCTAAAGAATGGCGCGCTTTGAATACGGTATACACCCAGAAGATGGCGAAACATAACGGACCCAAAGAGAGCCACCGCATGGCCCTATCCTGCACGCTATCCCCGTGCCAAGAGCCCTTGAAACTCGATACAAATGGGTAGAGGAAGAATGAGAAGGATATTGTTGGAACCGCAAGTAGCATGAGAGTGACCAGTGGCCGTGCAAATGAGCGCAGTAGTGACAACCATAGCAGTCCGACCAGGATTGATATGAGTGAGTACACTCCGATAAGGTGGAAGGACGAGTGCAATACAGTATAAATTGTGTCTCCCAGTGGGTTCTTCTTGTTTGGCGGCGATTCTTGCAGAAGCGAAATGAACCAGGTCCCAAGTATCGCGCACTGCACGATTATGAAGAGCTCCGCCCAAAAGAAGTTATGTCTTGGCGGAGATATCGGGCTTCCTGGCACATCATCCGGTACCGTCTGACGATCTGGGCTTATTGAACGGGAGTGGTTCAGCAGGATATCCTCGTCTGTCTCTTGTGGGACCGGCAAGTTCGTTCGCAGAGGACTTCGGCCGCGCTTTGGTCTTGGCATATTTCGGAATTGCTGGAATGGTGGTGGTGGTTCCTCGTCTTTGTGCCCCAGGAGCTCGTTCCTGTCTAGTTCTTCTATACTTCCTCGATCTGTAGATTCGAGTTCTACGTCCACTAGACGTCCCCTTCCTCGGTTGCTCGGGTTGGTCGACTCGGACAAAGGAACGCTCGACTCTCTCTCCTCATCATCCAGCCCCTCCACAACCGTTGACCTGCCTCGTGTGGGCTGGTCTCCTTTCCAAGAGCTCTTGATCCCTCTGCCAAGACCATACCCGGGTGTGTCGTTTTCATCTCTATCGGCTCCTATCGTGTGATCTGATCTTTGGTTGACATCGTCTTCCACTTCTGATGACTCCGAAAGGTTACTGGCACCAAACTGCCGCCGCGACCGTTGCAGAGCATAGTGATCGGCCATCTCTCGATCATGCTCGACATGATCGTCCTCTTCCCGGAAGTCGTCCGTGGCTGAATAGAAGAGAGGCGCGGGCGCGTTCGAGGTGCGTGAGGCAAATGCGAAGCGGCTCATAGCCTGCGAGTTGTAGGGGTTTGGCATGTTGCGACGCTGTTGGTAGGCTTGGGCGGCGCGCGAAGAGGGTCGCTGCCTCCCGTTATCGTTGCGGTTGAAGGGCGAGTCGGGCTGACCCAGTGACAGCCGCGACTGAGACTGAGACAGGAACTTGGAGGCATCTGGAGAGCACGCACGTCAGTCACGCGAGTGCGTAGGCTGGACAGAGGTAGCGCAGGTGTTGCCTGTAGTCACATGGTGCCTGATAAAGGCGCACGGCAGCACGGGGTTGGGTGGGAGACGTACATTCAGAGAACATGGTGGGCAGCCCGAAGGGAAGAGGCTTTTGTCCGTGTACAGGATTCTACAGGCGGCCAGGCTGCTTTAAACCGTATCGTGGAGTTGTATGGCCGGCCTCTGGGGGAGTGGAGCTTCACTGAGGTGGCAGGTCAGCCGTCCAGTCAGTGAGGCGGCGGACGGACACACGCGCAGGGTCCAGGTAGCTGGTGCTTGGATGACGCAGCTCGAGGCATGCAGTCTGGGGAAAGGCCGGCACCTTTCACGGCCTGATTTGGCACGAATAATGGACGGTGGATATGCAAAGAGGGTCTAGGTAGGGAAGGGTGTCTGTAGCCAAAACTACTGTCTAGGCAGGTAGAGAGAGGTGCTGGTGTATGTAGGCGCGAAACTGAGATGCCTCACCTCGTCTCTCATAGTCTCGTTAGCGCACCTTATGACCGCATTCAGCAGCCTTCAGCCACACTTCCTTCACCTCTCACTGGACCTGCATGACTTCTGCTACCTTACCTATCCAACTTTGTTGTCGAGCGCTCCATCAGACAAACACAACACTCAGTAGCTGCGCGCTTTGTATTTCTCCTGGACTTTTGGAGATTCTGCAACAGTGATTTATTGAATATTTGCTATCTTGGGGATCCTAAAAGTAGGCCTCCGTCATCGCCTGCCTACCGGTATCCTGCCTGCACTTGCGCCTCACACCACGCGACTCGCACATCACCGTGAGCGGCTTCACATTCAACCATGTCTCAGCCATGGGACTACATAGCCAAAATTGTATCACTGGGCGACTCAGGATGTGGTAAATCAAGTGTACGTTGCTTGCGCGAGTGCTTCCATGCGTACGGCATGCCAATGCTGACTTCAATCAGTTAACAGTCCGCCTCTGCGAAGGCCGTTTCTCCCCCCATCACGACGTGACCATCGGTGTCGAATTTGGCTCTCGCATAGTGCCTGTTGGCCCCCCAGCTTCATATTCCCTCGGCATCAACCAGCCGTCTTCATCACAATCGCCCGCCGCCCCATCAGTGAAAGACCCACAACAAAAGCACATGAAACTGTCGCTGTGGGATACAGCAGGCCAAGAGACGTACAAGAGCATCACCAGAAGTTACTTCCGCGGCGCATCGGGCGCATTGCTCGTCTTCGATATCTCGCGGAAAAATACATTTCTCAGCGCAACGTCATGGCTGCATGATCTACGACAGATTGCTGAAGAAGGCATCGTTGTAGTGCTGGTGGGCAACAAATCCGATCTCGCAGCCTCGTCAACGCTTTCCGAGTCAGAAGCAGCGAATAAGCGCCAAGTCACAAAAGAAGAAGCGGAAGAATGGTGTAAAGCCAATGGTGTCATGCAGTATGTTGAAACAAGCGCGAAGAGTGGTGAGGGCGTCGAACGAGCTTTCTTGGAAGTCGCAGAGCGAATATACCAAAACATCGAAGCGGGTAAATACGACCTGAATGATAGGAGAAGTGGTGTCAAGGGGCCAGGAGGCGGTGGAGGGAACAGAGCGAGCGTGAATTTGAACGAAGCAGCGAAGAAGGGGAAACAGCAGGGATGGGGAAGCTGCTGTTAAGTGTGAATAGATAATGGGCTTGATTGCTTGACCCATGCAATACAGGCATCATTTGCCCTTTTTGAACGACTAATGTTATTATGAGGCCTAAATGATTGTAATAGAGAATTTGCTACCTTCTCAAGGGCATACTATGTTCTATCGTGAATCCTGTGTGTGCAAGCCGTAGCTTTTGTACTATGACTTAATAATGCATGTCATCCATTCTCGTTGTAGGAATTGCGTATCATAGAGATTAGTATAGTACCGGTAACCCCTTCCTTACTCGTAGACCGATGATGACTAACCCTCGCAAGCTCTAGCGGCGTGAAGGGTCCTGGACAACATTCTCTCACCAAACAAATACATTGTGATAAGTATTCGAATTGTCCTACTCCGACAAGAACCCAGGAAACTTGGGGACTTCCATGCACGACACGACAAATATCCCGTGATTCGATGTTGCGTTACATTGGTTTACACATGTCTTCCACCCTCAACGGCGTCTTTATCATTGACCTACCGTAGGTTCTAGGTACCTCGTTCCAATTTATCCATCTCCCATCAACCCACCGCAAAGACCTCAAAGTGTTTCCGTCAGTGAAGCGCTTGGTACACCTGAATCGCGCCTTCGATGCTCTGCACTAGACCGAAGAACAATGTCAAGCAGATCGCCACCGTGGCGACCCAGGAATTCAGCCAGCGATCGCCTTTCTTCCTGTCTTTCAGTGCTTTCAAGATTGCTCTTGATGGAGGTGTAGCATCATCTATAGCCTCGGCCAGGGCGCCGAGCCGGTCCCGCCAGAAATGATAGCGCTCGAGTCGCCGTGATGGATGGCCAGCTTTAAAGTGCCCCACATTTGTCACGCTACGATCAATCACAATTGACTGGGTATTGTTCTGGAAATCGTTCTCCAGCCACCGTCTGGATTTCTGGTCGTTGTCCGGGAAAAGGAGCATGATCGTATCCAGCGTTTCTTCAATCAATCCACTCGGAAATAAGCTATACAGGTTCCCAATGTCAGCAAAGTACTCTGATCATCTATAAGGAATCACATACCTTTGACTCGCTTTCGCCCTCCTGAGGAACGACACGTGGTGAAAGACGCAGACTTTCCTGTCCCCATGCGACAGTCGCAGATGGTCCGCTAAGTTGTTCGTTGGTACGACATCGATCCCTGACATACGTTCTATATTACGGCAAGTGATATCCGCCCCAAATACACTATATTTTGGATCGAAGTCCAGCTCTGGGGGCATAGCGAAGAAGTCCTTCACGGCGTCTTGTAAGGATCCTCGAATCCACGGTAAGCTGAAGCGCCCAGACGCCTCCATCGGCAGCGCACCGATGTTGATCATAGCGAACAAGCGTACCACGAGTTTAATGGTTCCATCTATCATTCTGTCCTGATCCGACGAGAAATTCGTATGCTTGAGATCACCACGCAGCTGCTCGGTGACTTCTTCCAAGGTAGACCCATCCTCAAGAAGGCGCGCGGCTTTGAGGACGTCACCATGGGTTCTGGCTGCGACATAGATGCCCTCATCCATCAGAGCCGCGATACATTCTCTTGAATAGTATGAAAAGTACGCTTCCCAATGCGAGTCATGTTGCAGAGTTCCTATTGTTCCTTGGTTACACCAGAGATGCTGAATTAACTCAGCCTTCGCTAGTGGAGTGAGAGGCTGTTGAAGTTTTCCGCTAAGCACTGGATTATATTTCGACATTTCTTCATCCGTAAACAAAGAAAATTAACATCATTGCTACATTCAGAAGTTTCGAAAAAGGGCGAGATGGTTTTTAGCCGTCACTTCACTGCGGTCCCATGTGCACTCCCTCGAGTGGCGCACGATCTTGACCGGCGGTTGTGTAGCAATACGACAACCAATGGCAGCGGCCCGGAGGGCTATGAGACGCCTGTATCAACACAAGAGTCATTGGAAAAGCCCCGCCTTTTCTCCTTTTATGAATTTCTCTTCAGGTGAAAACCGGCATTTGGCTTATCCTCCCAGCTCTCCGCATATAGTGTATCATCCTTCTATCGACGACGAAAGCCGTTGGCACGCAATGATATGGTCGATCCAAAGTCACCATGTCTGATAGCCATTCCGGAAGCCCTTTAATCCGGTGGAGGACTGTAAAATTATACCCACTCGCTTGCCAGAGCGTTGGCACCAAAGTTGGCATTTTCCACGGAAATCACTGGTGGCATACTACAGGGCCAGCACGAGACGCATATAACAGAAAGAGATTAGCTATTCGCGTACAACTCAACGACACTTTTAACGACCGCTGTGACACCATTGTTCACTTCAATCTTTACATGATTAGTCGGACAGCAAACACTGCTGCAGCTATACCTACTATCATGTTCTTTTGTAAGGAGAAAGAACCTCGTAAGGCAGCGAAAAGAACGCTTGATGAAGGAGGTATATTGCAGCACCTGCCTGGTTTCAGAACGGGTCATCAATCTACGGAGCCAGGCATTTGCTTTCTTGTTCAGCCTGCTTCGCAAATACGTTGGAAAGAGCAATCGAAAAAATTTGCCCCAGATGTTTATTTCGACCCTGGTCGCCACATAGAAACCATCGGTATGCCAATTTTCGTGGATCACGGCGAATATATGCGACAAGCCACCGCCAATGCTGTGTTTGAAGATGAGCGGTGTGTTTACATCTCCGTGTCGCATGTATTTGCTGCCACCTCTTCCGCAGCACAAAGCCCTGCGTCGAATTCTGACAGTGACTATGACGTTGGTAGTGGTACTGAATACGAATCAGACGGAGAACAAGCCCGAAACACATCCCGCGCCAGCATCAGTTCCTCTGAGGATAGTTCAGACAGCTGCCCAGACTCAGCTTCACCGGATTCAGAGCTCGCAGATCCTGTTAGTGACGCAATCTCAATAACCGCCAGTGTTCAAAACGAGCAATCTCTCACCTCTACCCGTTTCATAACTCCTGGATCGACTTCGCTACCCAGTTTGAGCGCACCCTCGGTTCCCGCACAAGCTCCTCCGCGAGAGAAATTGGAGTATCTGGGATACATGAGCAGGTCGTGCGACGATATAGACTGTGCTGTAATACAGATCATAAACACAGAAGTTTACACCATTGTGCACGCACTCAAGTCTGATTTGCAGACTAAACGTCAGTCTGCCTGTCGAGATGAACCGGCCCTGGCCTCTTTTGTCCTGACGCACACATCTTCAGGCGCAATCCCTGGATCTGTCCTTGATACTGTATCTTGCATGCGACTTCCTAACAGTCCAACCTTTCAAGAAGTACGACAAGTACATCTGGATCGCTGTCTCGACTGGGGTGATTGTGGGGCTGTTGTCAGCACAGGGCTGGCAAAGGATCCATATGGTTTCATTGTTGCAAGTTCTACAGACAGACTCGTGGCATACATTATTCCAGCAGATCTGATTCTCGAAAGTAGTGGATTGAAATGGAGTATACAGAGAGTATTTGATGAAGGTAAGTTGTGTCCATATTCTCATACAATCGAGCTGTACTAAAAGTTGCTCGCTACAGGATCTCCACATGAGAATCCTGATTCTTCAAGATCCCTTGATCCAGTGGCTCTCGCTTTCAATCGTGTCTCGCTGCCTGATTATCCCATTCACTTGAAGCGTGCACTGGCTGTAATGCTAGGGAAAGCTATAGACTCGTGTTTGCAACACAAAACCGACAAGGATTTGAAACTGGGGCCGCAATTATCGCCCATGCCTCGTTTACAGGCCGGCAATTTAGACATACCCCAGAGTACCGTGAGCACGAGCTCTGCTCCCAGGAAATCTAAAAGAAGGTATCGCTGTTCAATTGGCATAGCATCTCCTACTGATCCATCTGTTGCGGGTTGTCCTGCTCCGCTGTTTACGCCAATAGATGTTAGCATGCAATCAGTATGGGAGAAATCGGCTGTAGCGCCACTGAGATTCATCGGCAAATCTTTGGATCCTTTCCAAAACATGTATCAAACATTCTATCCGCGGGTATCTGTAGAAGCACTTCAATACAATTGTAAGTGCAAGCTCAAGTTGCTTATTTATATTACTGATTTTCTAAGCTTCCCGTCATTTCAGCACGTATGGATTGGAAAGGCATTGGATTCCATGCATATTGGAGCAATCGTCCACCTATCTGAGTTTTCTACATATAGAGGCTGCCTATGGAGATGTCATATCTGAGAGGGCTACTGAAAGTCTCGAAGCAATGGTTATGCGACAAGAGGTAATTACTATGGTAGGCGAAGATCTACTCAGTTCAACTCGTTCGGTCGCAGATCACAACATCACAGCAGTTGTACAGTTGATCATGGCCGAAATTATTGCACGGAAAGAAACTGAACTTGTCTTACACGAGAGAGGACTTGAAGCAATGATCAGGAAGAGAGGAGCATTAGGTGACCTTGGAATGGTGGGCCATTTGAGTTCCTTGGCATCCTGGACCCATCTTGAGTCTGCCATACTTCGCGAAGCGAAACCGCAAGCTATCTACGCAGGATTTTGCGAAGCTAACTGCCATATCTCTCTTCCGATGACAGCAACCGTTGCCGAATCTCCTATTTACTGTCCCCGTGGGAGCTTTGTCACCCTTCAAAGGTCGAAGAAGTGCAGTCCAATGGCTCTAAAGCTAGTAAGCGACATGTTTACGCTAATTCGCGGAAACTTTATCAAGGTGAGATATTACAGATATCCTTTTTGTGCAGAACATGCTGACGGCCATGACAGCAAAGTCCACGAACATTTTGCGACCCCGTCGTGGTCAACAATCTCATTGAAAAGATAACAACGGAATATCTACCGGTGTCACAGTTGGAGAAGACACGAATGATACTCGAAGAAGACTGGAAATATGAAGCGATACGCGTAACTTCGATGGTTCTTGCCACGGCAATCAGCAGGCAGAGACCTCTTTCTGAATCATTAAGTTTCCTTGCTCTGACATATCAAGCATCTGAAGTGGACAGTAACTCAACATTCTCTCGAAGTGAGTCTGTCTTTTCAAGTGTGGAAGATGGATACCGCACACCCTTCTCCAACTACAGCGCTTCCCCGGCAATTTCGACTGAGCTAGTGAGCTTTCATATTAAAACTAGTGGGCTTTCACTCGACGCAGAAAGTTTCGCACCTTCATTGCCTAGCCCATCGCCGGCTTCTACTCATTCGAACCATCAGTCACATTCGTCGAGTAGTTCCTCAGGTGGGAACTCCTTCTACTCAGCACCGGAAACTACAACATTTGAAGATACAGTTGTCCTTAGGGACCTCAAAGAAGCGTTGGAAAAGTCAAATCTCTCTGATTGCTGGTCGGATATGGCAGGCGTCCTCCTATGGATTGGTCTCACAGTCGGTGCGGCTAGCCGCAGATCTTCATCGAAGGTGCTAAGTCGATATTTCGCTGCAATTGCTATGCGAGCCTCCATAATGCTTTGCTTTGACCATCCGGAGGCTGTGCATGCCACCCTTCTCCAAATGACCGAGATTGTAGAAACACTTTCCATCCCTATAGATAGTACTGTCGAGGGAATCGTGTCGAAGAAGCGGAAGATGTGATGAGGGATAGAGAGAGGTTTCTAGGATACTACGGAGCACATTTTGTTCGTGCTTGAGGCTATAAATGAATGATTTCTGGATTAGGGACATCATTGAGAGAATAATCGTGCCAAGTGATACATAAGTCAATATGGCAAACCAAGACTGCATGGTCTATTTGAAATCGCTATCTAAACACAAATTCCACCTAGGTCGAGCGTCTTCACTATGTGTGTCTATGACCATTTGATTACCAATAACTTTATGGGTTTGGTGCATTAATCTCCAAGTCCAAAACTCTTGAGTGTCTAAACTTCTCTGTCAGTACGGATAGAAGCCTCGTGGTAGCAAGCACCTCTGAAACGACCAAGCGGAGGTTTCTGTACATGGCCTGGGGTAGCGCCAATCCCAACTTCAACTCTGAAAAACAAATGTGGCAGATCAGCATGGTCTCAGTGTCAAATTTGCAACGTAACAACAGCCTGTACTTTGCTTCCAAACACATCCTATCTGTAGCATCGCACTCCCTATCTCCCCGTCATCCAAACACCGCTCAATCCCCCCCAAACACCAAGACTCTAACTTCAACACTCTCCCTCGACCCCGCCCCCCCAGGTCCCCCTCTCAATCGAAACGAGGCATGCGGGCAATCTACCCGCGTCAGCCTTTTTGTTCAGGAACAAGAAAAAAACACTACTCCCCCCACCTGCATATCATCTACTTACATTTCGCACCCACATCCTCCTTGGAATCCGCAATCTTGAACATCAACACCTCGGCCGGTGTCTGCTCGCTCAAATAATACCAAGTGTGTTCGGGGCGGTACATGACGTTGTACATTTCGCCCACGTAGTTGGGCGTGATGAATGTGGTTGGGATGAGGGCGGAGGGTAACACTGTGCTGCCGTCGCAGAGAGCGAGAGGCCAGTTGATTATCGGGTGGTATATTGGACGCCATAGACTTGTGGAGTCTGGGGTTAGCGGGTTGGAAATGGGGAAAGTTGGGTGTTGGGGCAGGGGGAGGCGTGATTACTTTATCATTCTCACGCGCCCTTGAAGTAGTTCCGATGCCTCAGAGCCCATACAATGACGCACGCGCTTTACCATGCCTTTTGTCGTTTGATCTGCATTAAATTAAGCATTTGAAGTCCTACTCATCCGAAGTCCCTGGATTTTCTCACCAATGTGTACAGTGGGCAGCGGCTGTTCGTACCTGACCCTCCCAGCACCCTTTCCCTCCTCCTTCTCCTCCCCATCCAGACTCCGCCTCAACCTCCAATCATAAATCACCACCCTAACCCGTTCTCCTAAAACTTGCCTCACCAACCCCTGCACCTCCCTAAAATACAAATCCTCTACCGTCTCACGATCCCCCCAATTCCGCACCGCTGACTCATGTCTCAAGACGGTGAAGCCGTGCGTGTCCAGCCTGAACTCTTGCTCGGAATAGCCTCGGATATCGCAAATCGGTACTGGATCCCCGTACGTAAAGGTCAGGTTTGTAGGCTGGGGATGAGAGGGAGATGGTGCGGTGCGGAGGGAGGCGCTGAGGTGGAAATATGGTTCGTGTTGTCTGGGGGTGGGTTGGGAAGGGACAGGAGAGGGGTTACAGACGTAGCGGAATGTGGCACTGGTATTTGGGGGCGACATATTTAGTTTCAAATAGGGATATAAAGATATAGGGTCAAGTTGTTCGGATATTGCTGTTTAGGGGTTTGGTCTGGTGGAATAAGTTGCGGGAAGGAGAAGAACGCAGACAATCTGGTACCCCGAGGTCAGATGTAATATGGACCCTTGTTTCCCATGTCCACGAGGATTTGGAAGGGGGTGTTTGATCAGGCTGATTCATATATAGGTACAGTTATGGCTCGATCATCAACGGTACTTAGAGTGGACTACCGCAATAGCGAAGTCAGCCATGGCGGGACGCCTGATCCGGTTTCGGATCACCCCGCCCGTCTCTAGGTTGCGACATACTTCAGACTTCAGAGAAACACTGCTTGATCAAATCCCTTATTTGATATCTTCATCTCGCTGTTCGCTCATACTGTAACTTTTCAATCTTTGAGGCTAACCTAACAAGATCGGATATATGCTGCACGTGCTACACTCAATTATTCGTTCATCCAGGCTAACAGTCGTATACTCATGAAGCCTAAGTAACTCGATAACGCGTTCCCAATCCTCTAAAAAAGGTTAAGCCCCAAAGTCCATCTTCAGCGCAATCTTCGGCTGATCGTTGTCATCTCTACTAATTTCCTTCTTTGCAGGACCCTGTCCGCTCCTCAGTACGCCCTCCATGAACGTCTTCTGTTCTGGGAGCAAGCTAGCAACCACACCTCGGAAAGCCTGCTGATCCGCGCTGGCAATCTCTAACAGACGCGCTGCCGTCTCGCTGGTTGCACTTGGTTCATTGTGTGCACGCGCCAACAACGCTGGTATGATCAACTTTGCAGCGATTTGCCGTTGCTCAGGACTAGGTAATGTGGAGATAGAAGCGACTAGAGTCTGTGCCAGTGTTGTGCGTGATTCATCTAGACCTTCGACGTCGGAGGGAACGGCAAGGAATGACAGGGCGTTCGGGAGCATGAGCTTTGCGATACCAAGTTTGAGGCTGCCCTTTTTAGGAAGAAGTAGCAAGGAGCGACAACAACCCGCCGCGACCTTGGAAGTCATCCTGTTGCCCAAACAGTCGAAAAGATCGTCTACGAAGCGCTTTAGGAGTGGATCGCCCGGTGCAAACGCCGACGAGGCTGAGCTGAGGAGGATGGTAGTCGCAAGGATGGTGTTTTTCTCACATGGTAATGCTGCTTCGAATTCGCGTGCCTGAGCATGTCTCAAAATAGCGAGGAAGCGAGTTAGCGTTGCACGTAGTTGTTTGCTAGTATCTTCTGTAGCTTCGGCGTGTGGTTCAAGGCTGCTTATAAAGCGCTTGAAGATGGGTAGTGCCTGCGGGACGACTGTGGCTTGGCAAGCACCAGTGCCTAAGATGGTCGAAAAGATGTGTAATATGCAAGCATGCAAGTCAGCCTTGATGATGGAAGGAAAGACTTGAGCCGCATCAACGAGAGCAGAAAGGGCTGTAGTCAGAAGGGCGACAGCTTCCTCGTTCATCTCGTGGCGCGCTGGTACTCATGTTAGTGAAGGTCAGCGTGCGAAGCCTCAGGACTTACCTTTGGTGTTTGTATCTTCCAGACCAGGGACCAAGCCTGACAGGACAAGTACCATGATCTTCGTCAGCTCGAATAGTTGATCAATGTCTTCGGACAAAGTTTCTTCAGCGGCAGATGTTCTGTCAGAAGTCAGATTCTGCTCCCATAAAGATTAAGCCTCATGGACAAACTTTTGCTCTCGTCTTGCAGACGGATGCCCTATGCATAGGTTCCTCGTGATCTCCACGATGACAGTCTGAATTGTGAGTCCTTCTGTAAGTACCAGGCGATCAAACATGTCCATCGTCTCCGAGAAGACCACTTCTTGGTAGATGGCGTGTCCGGAAACCGAAGGTCGCAAGATCTTCTTGAGAGCTTGTAGGATCTCCAGAATTTGCTCTTTTGAAGCTTGCAGATCCCCTGGTCGGCCTGCGAGAGCTTCGAAAGCAAGGCCAAAGAGAACAAAGAAGAAAGCCACTGGCTCATCGCGGTAGTTGATGTGATCAGCCTTACCGTTGGATTTGGCTTCCGAGAGCTCAGTCTTGCCGTCCAGCGCATCAAACACGAACTCAGAGTCCTCATCAATCAGACTAGCAATAGCGTCAACGAGATTGAGCCACGATTCTTGGTAAAACTAGGGTCTGTCAGCGCAGAGACTACATATACACAGTATCACGTACTTTGAGTAGCGTTTCGCGGTTCAATGCAGCATATATGGTGTCGAGGTTACCAGATAGTGACACTGATCCCATAGAGGATGAAATATCAGGCTCGAAACGTAGTCTGGCGTACTCTCGCAGAGATGCCAGCCATAGGGGTGTCAACTTGGCAATGTGTGGTCGCAGCACATCTACCAAGTAAGTTTGTTCAGCACTAGCAATCTGCAGTTCAGCCCATGCTGAAAATACAGCCATCTTGACCATAACTTGCGCATTCGAGCTAAGTCCTTTAAGATCACCAATCGCTGCTGCTTCCGAGTCACTTGAGAAGTTTTCAAGCGCTGAGACTAGCAACTTGAGGATACGACCCATGCGATCAACGTCAGTAACGATTCCTGTCGCAATGAACGTAGCACAGACATTGACCGCCTCGGACGCAAGTTCTGGCGACGAGTCTGCCGCGAATGCTGGAGTAAGAGCAGAGCCGATCTGTGCTTGATATTGTTCCAATAGGGTCACTTCGGCAAAGTCAGGATCCGGTGTTTTGCCAAAGAGCTAGATTCTGTCAGCATATTCCAAACCTTGTTGAGGAGCGAAGCTCACCTTGAGTACTTGATCAATAATTTTAAGACCCCGAATGCGAAGTTGTACAACACCAGCGGTAGAGGCAGAGAATGCAATGCGTACGACATCTGCAACTCTTTGCTGCAAGGCCACTACACAAGGGGCCTCTTCACGGAATGCTGCTTCCTTGCTAACCATCGAAACTAACTCGCTCAAGCAGTCCATGCCAAAGGTTCGAACTTGCCACTTGAGCAATTCTTGACTGGTCTGAGTAGCATCACCGGACTCAGCTCCAGGTGCATTCGCGGCTGCTGCAAACCCAGCAACTTCCTCATCTTGGAGATCTGTTGCACCAGCTTTAGGTTTCGACTCAATCCTCTCTTGCGTATCGACCTTTTTCGTTTTGGTGAGTACGGAGTGGCAGCGTTGTACCCAAGTTGCAGTGTCTGAAAGACCAGTCTGATGCAACCAGTTGCGGAGAATGTTCTGCACGACCTCATGTCCAGAATCACGATCGAGAACATGCCACAATTGATCTTCGAGGCCGGGGTCTCCTGCACGTATAACTTCTTCTGTGTCACGCCTCATCAAGTTGTGTAGACCGTCAATAGCCATGTCTCGAATCTGTTTAGAGCTGCTTTCTATTAAGCGCTGCAGATGCTTGACATAGGCCGAGAAATCCATGTGACCAGTTGCGTACAGCGAGACATGTTCTTGACAACGTAGACTCTCAATGACTACAAGTTCATCGGCCTCACCCTGGCAAAGTCCGATAAGAGTCATGATAAGATCTCGTGCCTTGGCAGAATCTTGCAAATCTGGACCGAGAACATTGATGGTACTATCGACACAACGTGCAATGACTGCAGGAGTAGGCAGGTCGATCTCGATGTTTGAGGATGCCAATGAAGCCGACTCTTCGTTGTGGGAGTCGGCGGCGTACAGCTGTGCGAGCATACCAAGCGTGCTAGTAACGTAACTTGAGAATGACAGACCAGCAGAGTCGGCTACACGTGACAGCGCATCGATAGCCCAGAAATGTACAACTGGGTGAGGATCATTGCCGAGAGACATGAGAATTCCAAGGATATTGTTCAGATGGAAACCCGCGGCCATGCCACCAAGCTGAGAGTGAATGCAACCAAGTGCAACAGCGTATCCTGAGCGTGCACTTGGCTCACGGTTTGCCACAATCTGATCCACCAAATAATTGACTTCTGTAGTCGTAAGGGCATTTCCAGAGCTATTGCATAATCGGCCTAGAGCTTCACCAGCAACATTGCGGATGTACGGATCAGGTAAGACGACAAACAGGTGAAGCAAATCCTGTATAACCTTTTCAACCGCAGGTCCCTTGAGACTGCCGGCAGGAGAGCGCGTCTCCTTCACAGCCACCTTTAGTGCCGATAAGATCGCGTACGCAATGTTGACCATGATAGCTGATTTCCTGTTGATGTCCCGCTGCAGACTTGCTGCTGAGAGGAAAGATGTCATCTGCTCGAGGATGCTCTCCTGGATTCTTGGGGTCTGCATTGGTAGGCATATTGCAAAGAGTTGAAGAGCGGCGTTGACAACTTCCGTGGCCGGCGGATCAGGAAGATCATGGCTGCCGTTGGTTGGATTAATGTATAGAGAGATAGAATCGTGCTCACGAGCGCCACATATTGGCGAGAGCAGCTGTATCCTGTCAGTCAAACTTCATCAGAGGAAGCAATTCGTACTCACAGTATGGTCAACAATAGCTTCAGCGCCATGTCTGGTAGACCAGTGGTACCGGACACCTGTCTCATGCTCTCCAGGTAAGGGCTTTATATCGAACCCTCTTACCAAACCTGTGACACCGAATCCATGATTGTCTGCCACCTCCCAAATGCTTTCAATCGTTCCCGCTGCACTAGCAATTGCTGTGCTAAAAGAACTTGATGTATAGCTATCTGGCTCAGCGAATGAAGCAATCGCAAAAGGCAGTAAATTGGTCTGTAGCAACACTTCATAACTGCTTGCTGGGCTCAACTCGACCAGTTTGGTGTAACATTGAAGAACTCTTCGCCTCACCATGAGGTCAAAGTCGTGTAATTGTAGTGCAGGCGAAAGTCTCTGGGAGATCTCGTCCGTAGTCTTCTTCGCTGGTAGTGTATTTAAAAACATGGTGGTGTTTTGTAGCATAGCAGCCAACCGCTTCGTCACGTCAAGTGTTAATAGTCGACTGTTGAACTCCAAGAAGGTCAGAATAGAGCCAAGAGCGCATTCTCGCACGTGTGCAAGGTAGCTGAGCTCCAACAAATTCCGTTGTACCATATTGTCTCGGTTCAGTGGCTTAGGCATGGCATTCTTCCATAGTAAAAGCAATTGCGAGAGATGTATCTTGACAAAGTTGGGGCCTAGAGTCATCAATCCTCCAATGAGGATCCATGCGACCTGTATCTGAGTCGATGATATTCTCAGATCAGAGTTACTGGCCGACTTGAGTAGTGATGTCGCCTGCGACAACACTCGTGAATTCACATCCACAGACCCATGCAGAGGCTGTGATGTTGATGTGCTTAGCACAGCCGATAGTCCGTTTGCCAAACCCACGCACTTTCTTGGTGACTTCTTTGGAGTGGAAAGCAGACTCAACTCTCGATTCACACTGTTCATGCAGATCGTCACCGAGGGCAGAAGTTGCGATGGGCATGCGAGGACAAACGATCGAAGACAGGCTGAGGCCGTGACCTGCACTGAGTAACTTGGGTGCTGCAAGACTTGTAGTAATGCGTCTCGACACGAATCCGCGATAACATTGGCTGCGGTTCCTAGGCTATCGAAAAGCGATGCAAGCGTGCTTAGAGCAGCAATGAGCGTTTGCTTCGATGGCTCCGGTCGCTCCTTAAGCGCTTGTGGGTAGTCTTTCAATATCTCGTTGACCAAGTACCTGACAGCATTGAGCTGTCCTGATTCACTCAACATTTCACGACCAATAACTGTTTCCAGTATGACTGCGACGTACTTCCGGGTGGCCAATGTCCGGTAACGATTTTGCGAAATCGTCTGATTGCTCAGTAGTTCCGTGAACAGGCTTCGCGCGACTTCTGAATACTTGGACTCGACAACAGACTCTCCTAGAAGTCGGAGAGTCTTCATGTAGCAGATTGCTAATCCTGCTCTTGCACGGTTGCCTGTTGAAGGTCGACAATATTGCATGGCAAGCAAACTGAGGATGCTGGCCACTGTAAAGGAAAGCTGCGCGGCTGACTTCTTGGGTGCAGGGGAGTCGGGACGCTCCATGGTAACCTCGTCCTCATCACCGTCATTTAGCTTTTTGCTCTTCTTTTTCGCAGTTTTAGATCGGGTAAGAACGGGCAAGTCGACGGGTACATTTTCAGAATAGTTCTTGACGAATGCGGCGCTGATGCAAGAGGCCACCGCATGTCTGACAGAGGCGGAAGCGCTATCGATCGTCTTCCATGCGATATTCTGTAATTTGTCGAAGTCGTTAGTGTTGTCGAAGAAAGCCGTATATCTTATCAATTGCTCCAAACAATAGCAAGCGGCGCACTGAACCAGGTACGACTTGTCACTGCAAGCGTTTCGCGCTTGTTTCCAGGCATCCCTCGCGACCAGCTCGTCTGCTGATTTGCCCACACCTTTAAAGACCTTGCCCACTGCCTTGAAGACCGCTGATCGGAGTCCAGTATGATTCTGCGCAAACTTGACAAGTCCCAGGAGAGACTTCACTGCCAGCGGTGAGAGCCCGATTGCGCTATCTCCTGCAGCCTCGAATATGGCACCTAAACAGTGTGTTGCCGCGTGTTTCGCTCTGACATCCTTCTCACCTTTGCCTGCCGCATTGATAATGCTGATGGACTCGTTTATAGACTCGAAAAGTAGCTTGCGGTCGCCCTTTTCAAATATTCCAGCGACAGCTCGTCCCAAGTTGTTTCGAATGACTCGTGTGGGCGCGGGGGAGCCCAGGTTGATGATCTGGAATATCTCCTTCTTGATGTATATCTGATGCGCCGATGCGCCGTCTCCATCCAGTGAGGCGACATGACGTGCGAGGTCCGAAGTGAAGGTAAGCAAATATAAATCCTGCTGTTCGGAAGGGAGGGTATGGAGCTTCTTGATGTCCAGTTCAGGGTTCGAGGGGTCCCCATTTGATGTCGGGGCGGGGGCGTCCGACGCCATTGCCAAAGCGCTTTCGGAGGGACTCGAGAGTCTGCGTGGTGATGTTGTTTCTGGGCTCGGTTTGTTCACATTATGATGAGTGGATGAGTGCAGCCAATCATGCGTCACAATGGTGGAGTGGTGGACAGCATGTCACAAGTGGGAGGAGTTGCGGACCCCCGAAGGGTTCAGTCTTGGCAGGGACGGATCTTGAATCGATGTTTTCGGGAATTCCATGCTCTAGGGCGAACAAAGTGTCAAAGCCTGTACTATACGGTACATATACATATCAACAATGGTGACACCGTTTCGCAATGTAGGTCGTGCTTCAGCCGCTCTCAATAGTTTGACTCATTGCGCTTGTCGCCATACTATTTGTCCACGGCCGATGCGCCTGCGTGAACAGGTACGATGCTTAAGCATCACCCCACAGTCACAATCCGGTCACTCGTAGGTGTTTTCAAATACGTCACATCGAATCTCCACGACTGACAATATTCCCTACAGTAAATGGTCTTCAATAAAACACGACAAAGCCAAGAATGATGCTGGAAAGTCCAAGCAACGCTCCCTCATGACACGAGACATCACCAACGCCGTCAAACTCGCCGGTCCCAATCCCGACATGAACCCTCGTCTTGCCCTCGCAATCACTCTGGCCAAGAAGGCCGCTGTTCCAAAGGCTTCCATTGAAGCTGCGATAGCACGAGGACAGGGCCTTTCCTCCACTGGCGCAGCACTCGAATCATTAGTAGTCGAGGCCGTGCTTCCGGCTTCAGTCGCGACGATAATAGAGTGTCAGACGGACAACAAGTTGCGTGCGCTAGCAGATCTGCGATTGGTGGTCAAAGACGCAAAAGGTACCATGTCAACAGTAGGCTATCTCTTTGAGAAGAAAGGGCGCATAATATTGGGACGGAAAGATGGCATGGGTGTTGACGAAGTGCTCGAGCCTGCATTGGACGCTGGTGTTCAGGATGTAGAGGACGATGAACAAGGAAGGGTGGTCCTATACACAGAGCCAGCCCAGACCAAGATAATAGCGGAGAAGCTGTCGAAAGAGTTGGATATGGAGATCGAGGAGAGCGAAATCATATATGCCCCTAACGAGGACACAAAAGTCCCGCTAGACGACGAAGGGTCGGCAAAAGAAATTGCCTCTTTTTTAGACGGACTGCAAGAAGTGCAAGGCGTGCAAGGCGTGTACATGAACTGGACAAAGGGCAACATCTCAGATGATCTGTGGGAAGAGTTGCGCACAAAGGCGGCTGTATAGACACCCCTTGATGATATTCGTGCCGGTTTCTGTACATGGATGTATAATAACATACTGTAAAATTATCATCGTACATCCCTGAAGTCGAGATCGTCCCACATGCTCCCAAACGCCATTTAGATCAACCATGCTTATCTAGAGGGTTCGTAGTGATCCTCTCCGTCAGCTTCCCATCCAACTTCCGTCCATCCACCCCGGCTTACTCGCCCTTGCCCATGCCCAACTCCCTCATCCTCGCCTCCTCGGCCTCTCGCCTCCTCTTGTTCTCCAAATTTCTCGCTTTCAGTCTCTCCAACTCCTTGGAAATCTCATCGCGATCAAACGGGATCTTGTGGGTTGCGCTTTGGCTGGGCCAGAAGTCGGGTACGGAAAAGCGGTTGTCAAGATTGGTACCAAAGTAGTACATGGTGCCAATTGGGAAGAGGATGTACATTCCAAACTATTGTCGTCGGTTAGTGACCGCTTGTTCTTCTGGTGAGGGGTGCGTTCGCAATGGTTCTGCGATGACTGCGGATGGACAGGAGAGGTGCATAATGGGGGCTTGCAGTCTGCGGCCAATACCTACCTTGAAAACTTCTAGATTAGGTCCTGCCATTTTGAAGGATATGCGACAGACGTGAGGTGGCTTGTTACGCGTTTGTAGGGGCCCTCAGATGATTAGTGGAGTGAGTGATGAGGTCGAGGATCTTTTCGGTGATGGGATGGAGATTAGTCGGAGATCAGATCATCAGATCCAATCTTCAGCCCTGCGGCCGCAGTTTCCCCAGACCGATTAAGTTACAAGGATGTGAAGCATCACATGCAATCCGTCACTTGCCTCTTCTGCAACATAGAACATCATACATCAGGGAGAATAAATCCTCTGCTCTCTTTGGAACCATGAATATCGCCTACTCTACGCACCCCAGAGTTCGGCGGCCTCATCTCAGCAGTACGTTCGGTAGTCAACCACCACCTCCGCATTGACATTCTAGCCTCGGCTCAAAACGTCCTTGACTCTCTCAAAGCTACAGTGATTGAATCGCATTGCACTTTAGAGTTGCACCTCTTCCAATACCATATCTCCACATTCAATCCCCCCTCACAGTCCCTCTGAAACTCCAACACAACATGTCAGAACCAGGCATCCTCGTCGAATACAAAGGCAAAATCGCCATCATAACCCTCAATGTGCCCAAGAAACTCAACGCCCTTGATGGAACCCTATACTACCAACTCGCACGCGCCATGCACGAAGTCGCCGACCGCACCGACATCTACATCACCATCCTAACAGGCAAAGGCCGCTACTTCTCCGCGTACGTCCCCCCTCTCCAGCCCCAACAAAAAAAATACTAGTTAACACGGACACCCAACCATCAGTGGCGCAGACGTAACCTTCGGCTCCCAAACCGACCCCACCGCCCTCGACGCTCGCCAAATGTGGCTCAAATCCTTCGTCTCCAACAACCTCCACATCACCCATGCCTTCTACACACACCCCAAGATCCTCGTCACCGCCCTCAACGGCCCCGCAGTCGGCCTCTCCGCCGCCCTCATCGCCTTCTCAGACTTCATCTACGCTGCCCCACACGCCTTCCTCCTCACCCCGTTTTCCTCCCTCGGCCTCGTGACAGAGGGGAACGCGAGCGTGGGCTTTGTGCGCCGCCTCGGCATCAGCAAGGCTAATGAGGCGCTCATTATGAGCAAGAAGATTGAGTGTGCGGATCTTGTATCTACGGGGTTTGTGAATGAGGTGTTCGATGTTGGGAATAGCAGGGATCAGGATTACAGCAACAGATTTTTGGCCAGGGTGATGGCTGAGGTGGAGGAGCGGTTAGGGGATCATTTGAATAGCGAGAGCTTGGTTCGGATTAAGGCATTGATTCAGAAGCCGGATCGTGAGACGCTGGATCGGCAGGGCGTGGAGGAGGTGTTTGGTGGCCTGCAGCGCTTTCTCAAGGGTGTCCCGCAGGAGGAGTTTAGAAAGATTGCCAGCGGGGAGAAGAAGCACAAGTTGTAGACTGTCCATCCCACGTGTGTTAATTCTACGTGTGACAAAAAAATGAATCCAGATGCCTCTGTGTTCCCACGAGTCTTGAATTGCTTCCGTTAATACCGTGTCCAATACTTTCCACAACTCTGTAAATTCCCAATCACCCCAGACTCACACCCTCAGTAGCCAACAGCTCCCCCCCAAGCGCCTCCTGCTTCCCCATTGCGCTATTCGGATCCCCAAGCGGTCCCCTCTGTGGCTCCGCGAGTTCCTCCAACGGCGACGGGGGTGGCGGTGCTTTCTTCCGCCGCTGTTCCTGCTGCTGATGCTGTTGATGCTGCACATAGCTGGAATAACGCAACGCGACAAACAGCATGAACGCCGAAATGCCGACTGTGATGGCAGCGCGACGCGTGAGGACCCAGCGGAGGCCTTCGACCTCGGAGCGTGCATCAGAGTTGAGCGCGACGGTGATTTTGTAGTTGAGTTCTTGGATCTAGTGTGGTTGTTAGACTCCCATTTACGTCGTCGTGTGTTTAGTAGTGGAGCAGAAGAGGAGAGAGGGGGGAACTCAAGGTTACGGGTGGTGTACCTTTGTCTCCATCATCCTTTGCTCTTGCCGAACAGCCATTTTTCGGTCGTCGAATAGGCCCTTCAACTCCTCTCTCAGTCCACTTGTCTCTTGCCCCAGCCTCTGCCCTAGAATATCCAATTCGTGCTGCAATTGGTTCCGATCGCTCCTCATGCGCTCAATCTCGCCTCGCCGTCGGTTGCCAATCTCAGTCTTCAATTCGCTACACGCCGCCTGGAACAGGTACGTCTCATTCTCGACGTTGGACTTGGAGACGAGGCCGGCGCGTGCGAGCGCCATGTTCGTGAGCAGGGTGTGTCGCACGGCTTTCATGATGGTGATGGATTGTTCCGGTGTGTATTGAGATTGAGACAATCTGCGCACGAGACCGTATGTGTCAAAATGGTGGACATAGGGAGGAGTCTTGAGATGTGGCGGCTTCGTTTCTTCCTCCTGTTGCACAGTTGGAATCTGCAGTACGCTATCGAGGGCCTTAGGATCGGTGGTTTTGGCCGACTCTGCGAGAAAAGTGGGCGAGGCTTCGGGGGTTGAGTTGGTTTTTGAAGGAGTCGTAGTACTCGTTGTGGCGGATGCGTGTGGCTCTTCCTCATCCTCTTCTGTCTTTTCAAGTGCGGGCTCTGGTGGTGGTTTCGTAGTGGGCGCATTGCCTCCTTGTTTCTCAAGTATGTGCAAATTTTCTTTATCTCCGACCTCAGTTTTATGCTCAAAGGCCTTGCCATAACGTTGTGTTGGCACTTCCCCGGCTCGGCGGGGGTTCGTGGTAAATCGTCGACATCCCCTCCGTGGACGGTTGTTTCGCAAAAGTGGCCTGTCTAATGTCTGTGATGCGCGTGATTTCGGAGCTCCAGACAGTTTAAACAGCATAGGCCAAAGGAACGGCAACCTGGGTGCAGCCATATTGTCGCGTTGTCAAACCTCGAGGATGCGGAGCTGCGAGTTCGGATGTATGAAGTGTAAGCCAGTCCATAGCGGCTAGCCACGGCACTTGGCAGGCACATGGGTGCAGGGATCTGCCAACCATATGTAGACGTCAGGGTTGGCTCTCCTGCTTCACCAAGTTCACGTTATCACACTAAAGGCATGATTGTTCGGACAATGCATATAATGGAGTATTAGAAGTTATGCACTAGCTATTGAGGTAGTCCTTAAATGGTCTTGTATGAAGAAGACGTCTCCGTCATCTGGCCTCACCATTTTGTTTCCCTCGTTGCAACTACGAGACGTTGCTGAATGAAAATAAAAACGCTTTTGGGGGGCCAACACACCAGCCGCATAACGCCCTGAGATGCAGTACTTTCCAATATTCCCAGCCTTCATAATTCGCCAACCTTTTTGTGGAACAGATTTCAAGACTCTGGGTATCTTGAACATGCCCTTTGTATCCTTCAACATGGAACATCACGCGCTTTATGAAACGTCGTGAGAAGAACTGCTAATAGAACTGCGGCTAGTCCCATCAGTGATATGTGTTGCGATACTCATGCGCTGAAATGGTGAAACGCCATTGTGATCGCGGGAAGGTGGGCTAGATATACCCTGAACTTGTGCGGGTGAGGATGGCGAGCTGATGGACTGTGTATCGGTAGTACCGTACCGCTCTCGCAGGCGTTTAATCTCCCGGAATCGACTACGCCAGGACGAGATTGACTCGGCGCCCTCTCGGAGAGACCAGACGCTGGAAAAGACGCAGGAATTGATGGCGATGAGACGGCAGTAGTCGGCAAGGTACTTACCGCAAAGAATCTTCGTCTCTACGGCTGGCGAGATGTCTGGGAAGCCCGGTCTGGATATTGCCTGCACTTTGTAGTATCGCTCCCTTCCGTTGGGGTCACTCTCCATTCGTCGATCGACAAAGCTCGCTCTTGATTCCGGTGAAATGACAATATGTACATAGTTGAAAGCTGATGGAAACGTGTCAAAATTGTATGGAAGCCCAGAATCGTTGAAGATGATGTTGACAAAGTCGTTGCCAATGTGGCGCTTCTTGTTAGGGTACGTCATGTCGTCATCGCGATTCGTTGGCATCATGGTCGTAATATGGAATACCAGCTCCATGCAGCGGTCGCGCCAACAGTACGTGAACTCACCATCTACATCTTCGCGGGTATCTAGACCGCCGGTATTGAATTTTGCGCCTTTCAATCGACACAAGGTGCCCAAATCATTGACAAAGGATGTGTAGGCCGGGGAGCCTATGTCGTTCATGAAAATGTCTCTTTCATTTGTTTGGCCTTCGGCAATATATATGACACCTACTTTGTAGCTGTCGATGGTCGCAATTCGATCGAGTGATGCGATAGCTCTTCGAGTCATGTCGTCGTCCGGAAGGGGTATTGGTGGGTTGCTCGTATTAAGAGGTGCATAAAAAGACTGGAATATATCATCGGGTAGAATTCCAACGTACGAATCCGAGTAGAACGCTTCAGAGGCAAGGCCGACGGTGATGGGGATCTGGTGACGTGGAGGCGAAGTCAAGGATGGTCGCACAGTCAAGTATCGTACACCACACTGAATAAATTAGCAAACGGATCCCGAGGAACAGATATAGACGAAACTTACGGGTCGACGGATTGTGACCACCGAGGCGCCCGTTCGAGCTGCAGTCTCTATTGTCATAAGAGCATTGCCAACAATCCATGTCTTCTTCCATATTTCACCATCGCCGGGCTGCGCAAAATTATCGTCCCGTACGGTTTCGTCGCGATCGGTGTAAGCTACCATATTCATGATATCGACAAGAACTTCTCCTTGCTCCTCTAAGCCCTGTTTTCCGAGGTGGTCAGTGCAAAGCAAGTTTTTAGTGATCCAAGGTATCTGCTTGGGACGGTCCTCCATTTTCAATGCCATAAACCAAAAAGTAATGACGTGATAGGCAAGAGAATATAGATATCCAGGCAAATCTTCTTCCACGGTTCTTAGCCTTTTGACACTGGAATCAGGGGATCCAGAAAACTCTCTTGAGGCTCCACTTGGCCGTAGGGCTCGAAGACCGGTCTGCAAAGCAGTTGGATTGGACAATCGGTCGCGTTGATCTCTGATATGCTGTAGGTATCGGAAGCAGACACCAAATACCAACTTGAACTCGTCTTCCCGGAAATTCTTGAAGAGTTCCGGAAGACGAGCAAGAGAAGTCAAAAACTCTAGAATGTGTATCGCCGTTGCAGGCTTCGTGACGATTTGGGATAGTTTCTGTATAATGCTGTCCAAAGACTTGCTGACTGAAAGGGGTATCTCAAAGCAGCATACAGACAGCGCATGGATGCACCACTTCGATGTCCTATCCCACTGGACGATGCCTTGCAGAAATGCTTTGACAAGGTCATCTTCTTCACTCTTCTCAAAATACTCGTGGTAACTGATGATGACTGTCAACACGTGGAATAGACAGACAGCAACGTCTGCTTTCTTGAGAAGGGTGTGAGGTGGTGGTTCGTGGAAGCTCGAGTTGCGAACTTGTTCACACAGGACATTCCTCAGCATTTGCAACTGTGCGTAACAACTACGGACCAAAGCCTGGTTGGATAATTGTGGTCCAAGGTGGACAAGCACATAGCTGTAGATTTCCCAGTCAGGGGGTCTTTGCAGCAGAGAAATAATCAACTCGAGCCACAAGGTGATCTCCATGTCGAGAATTTCATCGGGAAGGGGGTAATTCTTGGGGTCGATATGAGAGAAGCAGACGCGACTACATTCGGACGACGGCTCCTCGGGGAGGCCTTTGGGTCCAGGGTACATCCAGAGTGGGGGAATCGGCTTGGAGACGCGGCCAGAAGCAGCGGTCGCGCGGCTTGTATGACGGTTGAGTGAAGAATGCGGACTGGAACTAGATAATTTGCGGGAATCACGCCCCGGGGCCATGTCGTCCAGTCTGTGTTGATCAGCCAGTGAATGTTCGTGCAGCTTTTCAGAAGACACCGCTGTCTCCTCTGTGCGACAAAGCTCCGCTGCGATCCTCTCACCCTCTGATGAGGCGCTGACAATGAGAGCATGGCGGGCATCAGCGCGTAGTCGGAACAACAGCTTAAGAGCTGTCAACCGCGCATCGTGTTCATATCTATCATTACCAGCAATTGCCCTCAGAGTTTCGTAAAGTGTGCAGGTCTTTCGGGCAGAATGTATTACGCTTCGAGTGAACAATCGTACAAAGGCAGTGGACACAACGTTGCCAGGACTTCCAAAACGCTCATCGTCCTTGAGGAGGAGTGAGTGTGACTGCCAGGGTGGCGATCGCGCAGTAGAGTGGTCTTGAGACCGGTCTATGCGTTTTCTCAATGTACGCACGATGTCTAAAAACGCCGGCAGGGGCGCTCGATCGGCAACATCTACTGCAAAATCCACGAGCTCATGCAAGACTTCAACATCTTCTTCGGCCTCGATATTGTCAAGGAGAAGTGTGCCACATTGCGAAACTTTGTCCGCTGGGCATATCTGCTCTCGGGTGTCGTAGATTTGTCGCAACGTTCTAATTGTCAAGATGCGAATACCACGAGGTCTGGTGGCGTCTTTGAAAACGCCTGCAACGAGCCTTCGGCAAAAGGCCAGCCAATCATCATTTGAGGGGTCCAAGAAGCGTTCCTCTGCAAAGTAATGGATGACTCTCTCGGCAATGGAATCGCTGACACGATTAGAGAGACTTAAGAAGAGCTCCATTACCGCCTCACGCTGAAGGAAATCCATGATGCCACTAATGGAATACAGCTTTTGTAGGACTTGGTATATGAGCCCGTCTGGGTTGCGATGATACATTTCACGAGACGTAGTGATCGAGTCCTCGGATGATGACTGCGGTGTGCTATCAGCGTCCGCAGCAAACCCTGTTTCTCCTAGCAAATGTGAGTATCGAAATAGTCGGGTACGAAATATGAGCCTACCATTACTCGATGAACCATTGTCAGTGGGCGACCTCCGTCTCTCAATATTCATGTTATTGGCCATACGCAAACCACCAAGCAACTTGGACTTACGACGACTATCGTCCCGCTCCGCACAAGTACGGATGATCTCCAACATGTCACTAAAGTCAGTTTCGGCTAGAAGCAAATCTCGCATGCTATCCTGAGCCAAGACGGTGTCTATCAAGCTCATGACGATGACCTCCTGATTGTCGTGCTCTTCATCTTGCAGCTCTCGGATTGATACTTTTAAAGCTGGGAATAGCAGAGACATGGGAACTTTTGGTAGTTCGTTGTGTCCATCTTCTACTAAGAGTTTCTGCAAGACCTGAGTGGTGCCTTTGTACACGCTCGTCAATCGCTTCCTTTTGTCTTCAGCGGGAAGGTTGAGCATCTCCTGTGATGGCCCATCGAGAAGAATGTGCAGAAGCATCGAGATTGCAGCTTGGCCAACATGTGATTTGAACAGGTTGGTGAGAGTGCCCCATGCTTGGTCCTGAAGAGGTATGATTTGCTTGTGTATCTCACACAGAACTTCTAGGCAGGATCGGAGAGAGGTAATCGGAACATGTATGTATGTTATGACGGTATCAAATAGCCTGATGCAGTTCTCAATGTCCGCGTGAAGCCTCGTCTTTTTACTAACATGCACCGCTCGACTCAGGAGCAGATCGAGATCATCGTCGGTGAATATCTTGGCATTGAATTTGCAGACATCGATCGTGTAGAGGAAGAGGCGAGCCAGGTTCACCGACTCCCGGGTAGGGTTTGCGACGCTCCGCTTTCCATTCGTCTTGCGGTGGGCCTTGGATGCCCGGTCATTGGCCTCGAAGCAGGCATCCAAGGATGTCAAGACAAAGGGAACGATGAACGGTTCGCAAGCCTCGATGTCCCGGCCCCCTTTGGTGAGAGTGGCAACGATGTCCAGCCGCCTGTCAAAATAACGATCGGTTTTGCGCAAGGTTGCCGCATTGAAGTAGATATTGCGTTCTACCGAGGCCAGGTTGGGAAGGGCCGCGCACGCTAGTAGGAGGTTGTAGCCAGTCTCCGCCACCTCGTCTGGCTGTTCGGGAAGGAGCACCCGCTCCAGGATATATGCCATTGCAGAAGCGTCATTGGTTGA